TATATATATATATATATATATATATATATATATATGTGTGTGTATGTGTATACATGTACTCTCATGTTATTAAAAATATAGAAAATTATAAAAAATGTAAATAAATTTGTAGGAACAAGGAGAAAGAAATACAAGTTTCTAGTCAACTTCAAATGTCTAAAACACCTAAAATATCTGAAACCTTTAAAATGCCTGGAACATCTGACATGCTTGATACATGTGAAATGGTTGATATATCATACACGTCTGAAATGTCTGAAATGCATGAAATGCTAAATCTGATGTAACTATTATTAGCTAAAAACTTACATATTTCTAATCAAAATTTGTATATATTTATACAACAAAACATTTAACTTAATATTTTTAATATAGATCTAAATATTCATTAAAAAGTTTATATATATATATATGTATGTGTGTGTGTTTGTGTGTATATATACACATGTACTCTCATGTTATTAATAAAAATATAGAAACTTATATAAAAAATGTAAAAAAATTTGTAGAAACAAGGAGAAAAAGATACAAGTTTCTAGTCAACTTCAAATGTCTAAAACACCTGAAATATGTGGAACTTTTAAAATGCCTAGAACGCTTAAAATGACTGGAACATTTGCAACGTCTGGAAAGCCTGAAAAGCAGGAAACATCGAAGTCACTAAGGCATCCTCTACTGTAACTATTGTTGACTAAATACATTTCTAATAAAAATCTAAATACTCATTAAAAAATAAAAAAAAATTATATATATATATATATATGTATATATATATATATATGTATGTATGTATGTATGTATGTATGTATGTATGTATGTATGTATGTATGTATGTATGTATATATACACTTTGTGGATATGTGCAGAGATGTGTGTGTGTGTGTATATATATATAGACATAGACACACACACACATCTCTGTCACACATACTGTCCTATTATTTATAGATTTAGAAATTTGTATAAAACATGTTAATAAATTTATAGAAACAGGGAGGTAAAGATAAAAATTCCTAGTCAAATGCCTGAAAAGCCTAGAACATTAAGAAGTTTTGAAATGCCTGGAACATCTAAAATGACTGAAACATCTGATACACTCGAAACACTTACATCTGCAATGTCTGGAACGTCTGAAAAGCACCTTCCAAAGTAGCTATTGTTGGCTAATTACTTATACATTTCTAATAAAAATATATACTTGTACAGCTAATAAAACATTTAACTATTTCTATTTTTAATAAAGATATAGATGCTCATTAAAAAGTAAAAAAAGGATATATATGTATATACATATGTATTCTGTGTCATATTATTAATAAATATTTAAAAACTCATGTAAAAAGTATGAATAAATTTATAGAAACGAAGAGAGATAAACGAAGAGAGATTGCATTTTGTACGAAAGTGTGAAAAATATAGAAACTCATATAAAAAACGTAAATAAATTTGTAGGAACATGGAGAAAAAGACACAAGTTTCTAGTCAACTTCAAATGTCTAAAATACCTGAAACATCTGGAACTTTTAAAATGCCTAGAACGCTTAAAATGACTGGAACATCTGCAACGTCTGGAGAGCCTGAAAAGCAGAAAATATTCAAGTTACTAAGGCATCTTCTACTGTAACTATTGTTGACTAAATACATTTCTAATACAAATCTAAATACTCATTAAAAAATAAAAAAAAATTATATATATATATATATATATATATATATATATATATGTATGTATGTATGTATGTATGTATGTATGTATGTATGTATGTATGTATGTATGTATGTATATATACACTTTGTGGATATGTGCAGAGATGTGTGTGTGTGTATATATATATATAGACATAGACACACACACACATCTCTGTCACACATAGTGTCCTATTATTTATAGATTTAGAAATTTGTATAAAACATGTTAATAAATTTATAGAAACAGGGAGGTAAAGATAAAAATTCCTAGTCAAATGCCTGAAAAGCCTAGAACATTAAGAAGTTTTGAAATGCCTGGAACATCTAAAATGACTGAAACATCTGATACACTCGAAACACTTACATCTGCAATGTCTGGAACGTCTGAAAAGCACCTTCCAAAGTAGCTATTGTTGGCTAATTACTTATACATTTCTAATAAAAATATATACTTGTACAGCTAATAAAACATTTAACTATTTCTATTTTTAATAAAGATATAGATGCTCATTAAAAAGTAAAAAAAGGATATATATGTATATACATATGTATTCTGTGTCATATTATTAATAAATATTTAAAAACTCATGTAAAAAGTATGAATAAATTTATAGAAACGAAGAGAGATAAACGAAGAGAGATGCATTTTGTACGAAAGTGTATAAAAATATAGAAACTCATATAAAAAACGTAAATAAATTTGTAGGAACATGGAGAAAAAGACACAAGTTTCTAGTCAACTTCAAATGTCTAAAACATCTGGAACATCAATGTCTGAAACATCTGGAACTTTTAAAATGCCTAGAACGCTTAAAATGACTGGAACATCTGCAACGTCTGGAAAGTCTGAAAAGCAGGAAACATTGAAGTTACTAAGGTATCTTCTACTGTAACTATTGTTGACTAAATACATTTCTAATAAAAATCTAAATACTCATTTAAAAATAAAAAAAAATTATATATATATATATATTTATATATATATATGTATATATATATATATATGTATGTATGTATGTATGTATGTATGTATGTATGTATGTATATATACACTTTGTGGATATGTGCAGAGATGTGTGTGTGTGTGTATATATATATAGACATAGACACACACACACATCTCTGTCACACATACTGTCCTATTATTTATAGATTTAGAAATTTGTATAAAACATGTTAATAAATTTATAGAAACAGGGAGGTAAAGATAAAAATTCCTAGTCAAATGCCTGAAAAGCCTAGAACATTAAGAAGTTTTGAAATGCCTGGAACATCTAAAATGACTGAAACATCTGATACACTCGAAACACTTACATCTGCAATGTCTGGAACGTCTGAAAAGCACCTTCCAAAGTAGCTATTGTTGGCTAATTACTTATACATTTCTAATAAAAATATATACTTGTACAGCTAATAAAACATTTAACTATTTCTATTTTTAATAAAGATATAGATGCTCATTAAAAAGTAAAAAAAGGATATATATGTATATACATATGTATTCTGTGTCATATTATTAATAAATATTTAAAAACTCATGTAAAAAGTATGATTAAATTTATAGAAACGAAGAGAGATAAACGAAGAGAGATGCATTTTGTACGAAAGTGTATAAAAATATAGAAACTCATATAAAAAACGTAAATAAATTTGTAGGAACATGGAGAAAAAGACACAAGTTTCTAGTCAACTTCAAATGTCTAAAACATCTGGAACATCAATGTCTGAAACATCTGGAACTTTTAAAATGCCTAGAACGCTTAAAATGACTGGAACATCTGCAACGTCTGGAAAGTCTGAAAAGCAGGAAACATTGAAGTTACTAAGGTATCTTCTACTGTAACTATTGTTGACTAAATACATTTCTAATAAAAATCTAAATACTCATTAAAAAATAAAAAAAAATTATATATATATATATATATGTATATATATATATATATGTATGTATGTATGTATGTATGTATGTATGTATGTATGTATGTATGTATGTATGTATGTATATATACACTTTGTGGATATGTGCAGAGATGTGTGTGTGTGTGTATATATATATAGACATAGACACACACACACACATCTCTGTCACACATACTGTCCTATTATTTATAGATTTAGAAATTTGTATAAAACATGTTAATAAATTTATAGAAACAGGGAGGTAAAGATAAAAATTCCTAGTCAAATGCCTGAAAAGCCTAGAACATTAAGAAGTTTTGAAATGCCTGGAACATCTAAAATGACTGAAACATCTGATACACTCGAAACACTTACATCTGCAATGTCTGGAACGTCTGAAAAGCACCTTCCAAAGTAGCTATTGTTGGCTAATTACTTATACATTTCTAATAAAAATATATACTTGTACAGCTAATAAAACATTTAACTATTTCTATTTTTAATAAAGATATAGATGCTCATTAAAAAGTAAAAAAAGGATATATATATATATACATATGTACTCTGTGTTATATTATTAATAAATATTTAAAAACTCATGTAAAAAGTATGAATAAATTTATAGAAACAAAGAGAGATAAACGAAGAGAGATTGCATTTTGTATGAAAGTGTATAAATGAAATAGATCTTAATAGGCTTCCAATCCGATATTTAGTATAAAATATAAAACTTACTACTCTTATTCTTTTTTTCTTCTTGTTGTTAGCTGGGTAAATTAACATTAGGTCAACCTAGAACATAAGCCATATAGTACACCAGAACTCGGCAAGTGATACACTTTCTGGCCGATTTTATAAGTTCTGTTTCATGTTATTCCCTTTGACTTCTTGCCTCGTGAGCAGCCAATGAATTGCTTGAACGTCGAGCGACTCGTAGGCTGTGCGCGCAGAACAACAACACAAAGCGGATCTCTTGAAAATCGGCCGAAAAGTACATTGCTGACGAGCTCTGATCTACACCATATAGACTTCTATAGTAGCATAAGTCACATATACAAAGAAATCAGTCACGAGCCTAAAAAAGATTGCATATATTACCACATTTATCCGATTACAATTAGTTAATTTCTCTGCACATATGTTTTATGCAATTGTGTAATCCTTCCAGATAACTCTATAAAGAATGCAATAACATTATGCTTACGCACATGTGTATTGCTAAAAACACTATTACTATAAACTCAGATTAAAATAAAACATTAAAATATTTTACAACTCTTTAAAAGTATATTATTAATGTTATTTTATTATTATATTATTGTTAATGTTATTGTTATAATTATTATTATATTACTCAACTATTAAAAACACGTACCCTCCTCGTTCATCATGAAAGATATAGAGTAGAATATGATACACAAGTTAGCGAATTAAAAAAAGAATGCTTATAAAAAGTTTCTTCAATCCTTGGATGTTATCACACTGTTACAATCTCCGCTTATAATATATGCGCTGCAGCACGAAAGTATTTTATCTCGAAGCAAGAAAATAGATAGATTTCGTAAATGTCGGTCGGCAGACAGTTGTATGTGCAAAAACCATGTTCTGATGAATCCCCGAACAGAAATATGCACTGTTAATTCGATTCCGCAGGACACTGCCAATAATTTGCCTGCATAGATAATCGTTGATTGTTGCTTGGCTTGAGAGGTGTTACACAACGAGCGGCGTCAGGAAATCGCTCGTGATAACGCTCTAATCTCAGGTACTTTACAGTCACTAATTTACCTGAAAAGGAAAGTTTCTGTTTCTGAAAAGCACACCGTTGATATCCAATTTGGTTATAGAGAATGGAAATTCCAAGAGGAAAGAGGAGATAGATGGTATATCAGACTGAAGATATTTATGAATTACGTACCATCGAACCAACATCCGTGTAATGCCCTGTAAGCTTTCCCGGCGTCTTCTTGTGACAGGCATTTCATATAGACACAACCCTCACGGCTACCAATGTCCACTCGAATGTGGAGAATCTTTACACCTTCTCCGCATTTCTCTAAAATAGCGTCTTGTACTTTCGTTTCCCAGTCATCTTCGGTTTCACTACACAATACAACACACAAAAATAAGGAAAGAATATAACTGCGTGCACACAAAGTTATAAGGAACATATCTTTAAGATTTTTTTCTTGTGTTGATGTATCTAATTTAACTTTATTTGTCTCCTACTTTAAGCTCTTTTTCCTTACGCATCATATACACAGAATGCTCATTGCAAAAATGATGAATACTATATATTAGCGTGCAACTTACATTTCTGGATCAAACATGTGTCTGATTTTTAGGCAAGGTGTCGGTGAACATGTCAAACTGTTAACAGATCCCTCCATCGTTTCGAACGCTTGTCCTTGCCAGACTTTCGGTTTCTTACTCAAAGAAGTCGTGCTTTGCACGGGAGATTTGCTCAAACTGTTATTTGGCAACCATCGCCACACACAGAATTCTTCTCCCGCCACCTGTTGCACTTCTTTTCGAATTCTGAGGATGAAAATTACATCATTATGTTCTTAACCATTTATATTTGTACATCGTACCATAGATGTAATAAATAATCTCGTGTGCGTGTTGAAATTCTTACCTCGATTCATTCTCATCCAAAAATTTTACTGCTTTTTCCCAAAGACCGGACATTCTCTTACGATCTTTCGGTAAAATTAGATTGTCTCGTACGTGATTTATAGCGAGGAAACTATCTTGCGTGCCACCAGGTTGAATGGACGCATTTTGATGATGTGTCTCGATAATGTTTATAATTTCACTAACAAGTTTGAACACTTCTCTTTCCGTAGATTTCTTGTGTTTTACATACCAAAGGAATAATTTTTGAGCCCCAATTGATGCTAATATACCTGAGAATATATAGCTACCATTACAGATGTGTTATCATATATACTGCTTATCTACTTGATGGAATGTAATCAAACGAACGAGACGTTAGAGTCGAGTAGAACGTTCAAGTTCCTTAGTAGTAAAATTCATAAATACTGAACCAATTACGTTGAAATTTCTTTCAACGCGAGCTTTTTTTTAATAAACTAGAGGTAAATTTTACAAAACTTACCATCCATATAATTACTGCCGTCAAAACGATTAAATATATTTATTGATTGGAATTACCAAAACATACCGTTTACTAAAATGTTTTACCAAAATTATCAATTTGCTATTCGATTTCAAGTCAATGGAATCTCCCTTTCGTTTGATCACACTTTATATATATGTATACTATTGTATAACATCACACATATACAACATTATATTGCAAAGAATAAAACTGTTTTAAAGTATAACTAATTTACTGAAATATATATCATACATATTATGCTGTAAATACGTATTAGCGAATTGTAAGACCATCAGCAACATATCGCATTAATAATAATAATTGAAACATGCACATTTAGAAATCTCATAATCAAGAATCAATAAGTCTTTTCCAATAAACAGTCTGTTAAAAATTTACCGAATGCCACTATAAGGAGAGAAGAAAATATGGTAAAGAGCTTGTTCTTAATAAGGCATTGCATCGGCAGCTCGGGATTTAGGATTACCATTCCGACTTTTCCATTTAGACGAGCGTAAAATAATTTATCCTGTAACGATCATAAACACTCGCTTTAGTTCGACAACAGAAGCACATATATGCCGCCTTAGAGAGTCTCTAAGAGAGCGATACTGATTGATATGCATACATAAATATATTTACCAGAGTATCCAACACTTCAACAGTCGCTTCGTTATCGTCATTTATATCTATTAGTGAGATACCCCATTTAGGATTCTTAATGATTAAAAATTGTGCGCTGTGGAGATCCTCCTTCACTTCGAGGCTCTTCTGAACATGGCCAAATAGAAAAAATTACGATTACCGTAGTGCTTATCTCGTTAAAAACAATTACCGTTAACTTTCAACCCACCACTTTCTCGCTCTTGAAAGTTTCCACAATATCCTCGTCGGTCAAGTACGATTTCTCGTCTGAATTTTCGCATATCTTAGATACCGCTTTTCTCGTTAATAGAGGCTGTAGAAGTCTTAACAGTTGCAACACGGATTCTATGTTTTTCTTCATTATACAATTTACTCCAGGTTTTCTAAGATCGGGAGCTCCATCGGTACGTTGAAAACATTGCGGTATGTTGTTATCTATAAATATAGATGTACGATACTATAAGTGAGATTTATCGATACATTATGTGTCATATAAAGTGGGTGAGAAAGCAAGACGATATAAGACACTTGCAAATAATAACGTCTGTGTGCCTTTAAAAAATTGAGCGATGTCTCGACCCACTAAATTAAATTCTGTAAAACTTCGATAAATCATACGTCGTATACACGCGTGAACGCGTGCGTATTATGCATTAAAGTAAAATGTACAAAGCGCGTGTCCGCAATCATCAAGTTGAAATATATTGGAAATGATACGTGTATATATTATACATATATGTATGTATATATATGCACGTAGAAAGAGAGAACGGGAAAAGGAAATAAAATATCCAAACTAGAGATTCAAGAGATACTTGATATTTATTATACATGAATATAGAGAAAAGAAAATACACACATATATTTAATATTTTACTCTTGCACATTTAACTTGGTTTCCCTGATTAATTTAACTTTGTAAAAATAGCGATATGAGATTTGAGCGTTAGTGATTAGCGACAGATGTACAACTCGACTTCCTTGTAAGCTGACTCGAACATATATTACGCACACTTAGCGCTTTGTTACAAATTATAATCAATATTAAACTGTATCTTTTGGGAAGAGTTTGCTCTTTCCAAGTAGTTAAAACTCTGCATACCTACCCGTTGAGAGTGACGGTAGTGATTCAGTTTTCCCACCAAGTCCCAGATATATTATTGCGATAACTCCGAAGAATAGAGCGAGCACTATCACGAGGACCATCGATATGATATTCTGATAGTTTCGTACGTCCTCTCGGTTGCTTGTCGCTGACGGCTTATAAGTCGGTCTACTTATAATGTCTCGAACTCTGTCGACGGACGACGATGCATTGTATCTTGTGCTAAACAGTATTTGTCTATATTTGTAACGTGTGATTACTGTTTATATTAATGAGTGATTCATGCATACCTGGGATTTGACGTTGAGTACGTTGTCCTTAAGGAAGAAAAATGACCGTTCGAGTCTTTCTCCTTTACCTCTGGTAAACCAGACAGTGTATTGCGCAATGTAGGGCCTAAGCAAAATTACCAAAAAATATATCAGAAGATGTAGCTTGAAATAGGGAGGGAGGGATGGTTTCTTTCTTTATTCTATATAAGAACATTGAAAATCTGTTCTTTACAGTTGTACTAAAAATTGCAACATTTATACTTAAAATGACATGCATATCAGAATGGTAATATATCCTAGGTAGAGAAAAAAAGTAAATACTACAAGATAATTGAGAAATAAATAACATAATGCAGCTATAAAGAACAGACCTTAGATTGTTGTTTTACAAAAGACATATTTACTCTTTAAGCTCGACAATGGCGTTGGCGATGTGTTTATCAGCGATCGTGAACTGAGTCTCCTCGTGAACTCTGATAAAAACGGAGTCTCGTAGTTGGCGAGAAGATCTCTTTGATTTGCACTGTCCCTGCTAATATCATCCTTCAAAGATTGCATCGTGGTAATGCTAGATTTCATGGGGTTTACGTTATATTTGGCGTCCTTGGTCGTCATGTGAGCCGGTTTGGTTTTTGTATGGTCGAGTTCGTACGTCAGTCCGCGATCGTGTGTTCTATGAGAATCGTATAGTCTGTTGGTGTTTGATAGGTACTTGGAACGTGCGGCTAATGTGCTTGTTGCATCCTCCATGACGTCGGAATCCGATCCAGTATCCAGGCCGTCGGATACGGTAGAGGACTTCTGTGTCCTAACAAATCTGTTTTGAACAGTTTTCGAAGTTGTGCGCGTCGCGGAAGTAGCTGGACTGCACTCATAACCTACAGTCGTTCCTACTACTGATGGATCCTTAAATTCCAAATGAGGTGGCGACAAATTCTCCTTTACCAGATTCTTCGTTGTATTTACACTGTCAGAGGTTATCGAAGAAGGTGGCGGCATAGGATTTGCCAGTGTCTGCCGACGCAAGTTTGATGCACTCTTCTTCTTTTTGATGGCATTCGTGTTGGTATCATCGTCAGTGTCGTCACTGCTGTATCTAATGCACAAATTAAAAAAAACAGTCAAACACAAAAACATACAAATATAAGACGATGTTAGTCTATATATGTTTCTAGATATCCTTAATTATTTATATAAGATTGGCCAGGAGCTTATCACATCACAATTAAATTTTACTTTTGTGGAGCAACAAAGTTAAGCAGATGCTGGATACTAATATAATGCAATTTTGCAAGTTACACTTTTTTTTCTATTTAGTTGCATAATATTTCAAATGCTTTTACAGAATGGAAATGTTAACACATGGTAAGGCATCAAATATCATCTCAAAAACAAAAAAAATTTAACAAAAGAATTGTTTTATTTTGATATAATATTTAGTATTTTCCATGCATTGACATTTGCACTTTCACTTTGCAAAAACATATACAATTCTACATGACCAAATAAGATAACAGTGCAAACTACAAAGCTATATTACATAAGTATCCAATATCCTCTTAAGCGTGGCTTCATAATATTATACTACATTCCAAACTGCAATCTTATGATCATATAAAGCATTGTATAATAAGAGTTAAACTGATGGACTGAATTAATGCTGAACATGGAACTGATACAACTCTGCTTCTGAAAACTTCTCCATGATTGCACTTTCTGTACAGAGATCAAAACAAATGAGTACAGTTTTTGATGCTATAGGCGCAGGAAAAAATAGCAACTAAAGCTTCGAATGTTAAACTCTTACGTCGATTCTTTTGTTTCATTTGTTCTCGAATGAATGTGGGAATTATTATTGATGAGGCTATCCAAACTCGGCGATATTACAGTAATTCGAGCGGCACGTGGACATTTCGGCCGCAAGAAACATACAATGCAGCATAGCTAAAAATGAGAGCTCTGTTCACCTTGCGGCCAACGAATGCCGGGATCCGACGGCGCCGTGGGTATCCATGAGGTTCTTGAGTTTTTTAGCGAGTATCTTACGAGTCGTCTGTGTCACCGGCCCTACCGGGTAGCCGTATTCCATCAGTTTGGTCCGCAGCTCGGAATCGGTCAGCGTGTCCACCGACATTTTGTCCGACGTGGTGAATAATTGCGATCCCGACTAAAACAATCCGGTTTGCACCGTCACGACGTCTCCAGCTCGGACTATAACCTGCAGACACGAGCCACGGATGAGCCTTCTCGTTGCTCGTTATTTCGATCGATGATCAATTCCGCTTGCCCTTTGATGACGCTCGGATCGTCACGAAGTCGCACACGTGGATGAATTATTGTTGTTGTCGGCGAGCGGACCGCAGGCGGAGACCTGCTTACTAATTTCACGTAGCACCACGTTACAAACAACCTGAATCGTCCTCAGCACGCCCACCGTACGCGGCTACCTTCCGCTAAACAATTCAATCGCATTCGGCAACTAAAAAATGGCGCAATTTTCTAACGGTCGAGATCGTGCGCATACAAGACGCGCGCTCCCTGCGCGTGCCACGAGTCATTCGATGCTGGCGCATACTTTGTGAATTTCAGACTGCAGACATGGATTTACACCGCCTGTGTCCAATGTGCGACGCGCAGCGACCAATAGGATGATTCGTTTCTTAGGAACAAAATGTCACTGGACGAAAAGCGTAGTCAACAAGCTCTTTTATTGGACATTCTATCACCGTACATCGGATAGAGCGTGAATAATCGCGTTCGGTGGAAGTGCAGCTTTGCGACTGTCGTAAGATTTTTTGTCGAACGTTTCTTAATAATTGCATAAACTTGTATCATGTTTGTCAGGCGCCGCCATTTCTTTAGAGCACGTCTGTGGCGCAGCTCTGTAACGATAGTGTCGTTATCGTGGTCCTTGAGCAGGTATAATATATGATAGAAAAGCTGTGCAACAACAACATAACGATAATGACATTGTCGTTAAGAGTTACAGAATCACACGACTGGTGAGCGCGTTGAAACATGCAGATATGACCTGGACCGTAGCGTGTAGTTTAACTATTCGCGAATCGACGTAAGATGTCGATGCAACACTGACTTACTGTATATAAATGCATAATCGACTTTCCATTATATTCCTTTGAGATAAGTTAATTATACAGTTATATGAGAAATTGAGGTTCCTGGCCTCTGGTCGAGGAATTTCTGATTTATGACGTCGGAAGAGAGAGCGAAGAAATACATATATCCAAAATCCTTACCGAGTATATTGAAATAAAAAGATTTATTAAAAAAATAACGCAATCTCGGTTAAGCACATTTCTAAAGTACTTCGAACATTTTGCTTTATTGATAAAATACGCAACCTTTCTCTTTGACATTTCCTCGTTATTTTATTAATTGTACGGTTATTTATTGCTTCTTAGAGCAAAAGAGAAGTATTCAGAGTATTTTACAGGTGTGTTTAATCAATTGTAAATGCCATTTTTTGAATATATTCATCTTGAAGCACTTTGCAAGAATTTTGGACATGCGTTTTCTTGACATCATCAGCCAAAAGTTTCGTGTCGAAAGACCAGGAATTTTAAGAGAAAAATGAATGAATAATTTAAAAGAGAAAAAGGGAAACTTGATTTGTTTGATTAACAGTAAGCACACACGCGCGCGCGCGCACGCACACACGCACAGTGTCCTATTTCAATGCAGTTTTGGAAAATTGTACAATTTTGAGAAGAATATGTTATCTAAAAGGAAAAATCAATTATAGATGGACAAATCAAGGCTATTTAAAAGTTAACCTCACCTTTTTAAATGGAATAACTTATCAAGTTCCTACATTTGCAGTTATGTTGAGTAAAATAAAACACCATGTACAGTTGTAATTTTAACGTTGTACATATTTTGTTCTTTGTACAATATGATACGTTAACATTGGAATATGTGGGCGCTCAAATAATATGTAAATTTATATATTATCTATACTTATATATATGTAACAGAGGGTATACTTTTACATTAAATGCGATATGTATATACTTCAAAGTACTATACATGATGCTGTTGCTGAATACATACCTAAATGATTGTGTGATATAATGAAATTAGTGATATATATATATATATATATATATATATGTGTGTGTGTGTGAGCGCGCGCGCGTGTGTGTATGTATATATATATATATATAGTCACTAATATATATATATATATATATATATTTATGTGTATATATGTGTGTGTGTGAATTTATGATTGTTATACAGGTGTTGTGTTAATTCTATATGCTCAAGGGACTACAGTTCTTTACGTATATCTACCGCTACAGTGTTGCTACAAAAATCGTGTGTTTGATGACAGTGTCCCATTTCAATCTCTAAATTAACACTTACGGGTAGTAATAACACGAATTGTTATAACAATACACGCATAGTAATGTTTCGTGATAGGATAGAAAATCGATGATTACATGACAATTTGAATTCTGTCACCAATTTATAAAAGCAGATGTGACTACAAGTAGAATCAATAAAAGTAAACTAATTTATTGTTTACTTTATTCATAAAAAACTTACTTCGATAATCTTAAAAACTAATCAATCTTTTAATTTCAATAAGGAAATATGTTCAGATATGTGTTTTAGGAGCAAATGCTTCTTAGTGCTCTTGAAAAACATTATATTGGATACGTTTTCCTCTATCTTTCACAAATAGATGACAGAATTATACGATATACACAAGACTGATACAACATATTGCTTTTATCGATATATGCCGCTTTGTATACATCATATATATGTACTGCTTTGTGTATGAATTTATTACATACATACTTTGCATAATTTCTTATTATTTTCTTACATCGCAATACTGTTTCTTATGTGATAAAGTACTGGTAGTATATGTAATAAAGTATTGGTAGAGGATAAAGCAGTTGTAAGGAATAGAAAATCTATTATTATGTAAGGTGAATATAACAACATTGTACTCAATTCTCAATAGTATACCTCGTCTTTCAACTTTTCAGTCGTATCGACCAGAAACATTTTCAAATTTAACGAATGTTTCTTCGTTCATATTTCTTTTTTGTTCTTTTATTTTTCTTTTTGCTTATTCCTTAAAGCACATGGAAATCGTATATTGCAATAATTGCGCAAGTTATTATATCTGATAAAAGATATAACGCGTAGTCGACGTTAATAATAGGCTGGTCGTATGGCGGATTTGTTACACGTCGCTTCGGATTAATACATCTGCGAGTTTATAACACGCGACCTATATATATGTATAAACTACATATGTATTTTATAAAATATTATATCTATATATACACATGTACGTACATGTATTTCTAATGCAAATAACGCATAATAAATAATGTCTGCCCGAGCTGCCTCTGTTCCATCATCCATACTTAAATGTCTTGTGCTTTAATTTAACTTAAAAGGTACATGAGGTAAGTTCAAGATTCGTCTACAAACGATGAATATTGCTACGCTCCGTAATATAAAACTGTTTCTCAAGCATTTGATGTGGAGACTGTTTTTTTTCATGCTGCACAAGGCTCACATTTTTTTCAATGCATGCTGCTGCTACCACTACAGTCTTTTCTTTGCAACGTTCGCAATTAACACGCAATACAATGGATAAGGATGACGATCGGCATACCGTATACATGACCGAGCAATGGTAAAGCTTTCATAGTCTACTCGTTTCTTTTTTTCTTCCGTAACGACAACGCGTACACATTTTTTTTAGGTTAGGTTAATAACTAACGAATTATTTGAAAATAGTGGTTAGTATAACGTAAACAAGATATCATCTCAGCCACACACACCATTATTTTTATATTTAAATAAACGATAAATACTTAGGAGGTCAGTAACGAAGTTGTTTACGCGAGTTGTAAATTAGAGAGAAAATATACACATTGTAACAAGTTCTAAAACTAAAATGTTACATTAACCATTTGTGGGGCTTTATATTATTAAGTTTGTATTAAACTGTATATATTTTAAGTAAATATTCTCTTTTCATAGTCTGCCCCCTCTCCATGCTATGCATATTCAAAATTTAAGATACATAATGAAAAAAATTCTTCTAATATAAATATATATACATATATTTATCATTAACATACACAAATGCATATTAATAATAAATGTATAATAAACGTACATATATTTATACCAGATTAATACGAAATCATATATTTAATATCAATATATTTATATATAAAATTAAAATAAAACAGAGCAAAAAGAGGGTCCAAGAAGGAGAAAAAAGAAAAATTGTGTATATGTGTGTGTGCACAAAAATGAATAATAAATTACTAATATCTATAATATGTACACCATTTACAAAAAATTGATAAAAATTAATATATAATAATACATTATTCTGATCACTTTGTTGAAAAAGAAAAAAAATCAAATCATTAATAATATATCATATGAAATTCAAATAAATTCTGATAAACAAGGAAAATTGCTCATAGAGTAATAAATGAGATAGACAAGCTACATATACTCTGAGTAAAAGATTCAAAATATCTCATACTTTCTATTACATATCGTTTGACAAATTTTATGTGCATTCTTTCTGGTAAAAAATTTGGTCGAGTATTATGGTTCTTAAGGGTCCTTTTATACTTAATGTTAAAGATGTTAGTATAACGAAACTTCTCAAACAAATATATATCATCAAAGATACATAAGTTTTTAAGAAATTAAGAAAAAATAAAATTTTTTCACTATGTCTGCATTTCCTACAGTGATAAGTATGAAAAGTATAATTGTTATTCTGCACTTTGCATAAACTGCATTCAGTTGTATCAAAGCAACAATATAATCTTGTAAATTGCAGTGCAATGTTATAGACACTGTGGGATTGCAAAATTCTATCCAATGTATAGCAACAGTATTGCAGTAACGTTTAATTGCGATGTTCGACCGTCCGATAGGCAGCGTTCATTTCACGCATGTAAAGTTTGCGTACTAGTGAATATAATCAGAAGGTCGAAAATTGTTGTCTTATGACTGGCCGGAATATGGAGAATGGCAGTGGTGTGTGCGGATGGGTTAATGTGAGGAACCCGTGCCATGTATCGAACAATCTACACAACTTGTAATATGTTTGTAGCAACTTTGTATTACTATAAATGCACTGCACTCGCAGTGAACTATGAACATTACACTGCTTTCAATGTTGCAGCAATGTATTTGCAATATTGTAATCGAGCATTTCTGTGTTGTGCATAAAGATTTGAGCAAATTTTACAGGATATATTCAAGTATCGTGACAAATTACGTTTCACAGAGCAAATGCAGACAGACGAGAAATCTTATTCTTCATTGAACAAGTAAAATTTGAATTTACCGGATTCTCCTTATATTTAGTTTTGTTTAATACACATGTTAAAAAGAAACATGATGTCGGATAAAACTTTAGTAAGAATAAATTAAATCCCCGAATTGTCTGTGTGTATGTGTACGTGTCTCTATTTGTGCGTAAAGAACTTAAAGTTTACTCTGAAAAACGGTTTTTTATATGTCAGACACAATAATAAGTACGATATTCTTATCGATTTAATTTTACGGATAATAAATGCAGTACATCGTCATGTGACACAAACTTTCCAACTTTAAATCACAGTAAAAACATTATATACGCGAATGCACGCGCGTATGTATAAAATTGTTCAAGATTATGCACAATCTAGGAAATATAACAGAATCAAGCTAATAATGGTCCCAAAATTGTCGTATAAAAGTTGCGATTGCTAAATCAGGAATAGTCGGAAGTAAGAGGATCGTTTGCCATTCCTTTAATAGGACATTATTGTGTGTCCCCCATGTGAAACTGATAGAACACTCGTCTAATGAACGGATTCACGTCTATACCGGATGTCTCCAAAAAATACCGATAATGAAAACTCTCAAGCATTCTCATAGGCATGTACGTCTTCCCGTATGCGCATGTGTCGAACTGTGAGAGCAGAAAAAGATGAAACAAATCACCTAGAGAACAACATCGGGCAGGGAGCAATGCCACTAGGCTAGCTGCGTTCCACTTCGTGGAACAGCGTGATGTCCCATACCGATCATGGAATTACCACCTCCAATGTCGTCACGTACGATTTTCCTCTCCTTGTAGTAAATTTCTTCGCTTTCTTTGTCGCATAACAGTAGTATCGCTCCTCCGAACAGAAAAATAGCTGCACCCCAACCGACTCCGTATGCCCAACCGAATTCCCACATGGTTCGATTACCTGAAAATAATACATTTTCGATAGAAATATAAAGAGTATTTTTTGTGCCAAAAAAGAATAATTTTCCTTGAACATTAATTATACGTAGAATATTACATTAGTACTTTCACATATGTTTTAACATCTTTATCTGCTACACATACAAAAGGAAAACATATTTTTGAAATAACACAATATCTTACCGAGATTCAGTTCTGCTGAAAAGCATACTGGATATATGATCAGCGCGATCAAAAGGGATACGACTAGAATACGAAATACATATATTAATATGAAAAGAGAGAAAAAGAAGAGAAGAGAGAAAAACGAACAAGTATTCCTATAATACTTACACGCAATACCCATGCAAAATACTGCGAATCTGTAGTACTTGTGTTTGTCCCTGTGATCCTGTGTTCGTAAACCAAGCCCAGTGAGAATCGTCGCTGCAATATCTGTCAAGAGACACACCACGCACAAGGCTGCGGCTGCTTTTATATAAGCTGTAAAAAAATATGAAATAGGTATCCTTGGACTCGTGTTGCATTTATTCGGATTAAAACGTGAATCGTACCATTATCTCTGGCTTGATAACATCCCGGAGGATCAGGCATATTAAAGGGCAGAGGTGTCGGAGCGCCTTCCTCGATGCAGTGAGCGAACAAACCCTGTCTCCAGCCCAGAGCCATCAGCCAATCGGTGGATGCAAGACCCATTATCATCAGTAATATCACTATGATCCCGCATATGAATGCGATCACCTGCAAATACAAACAAACACAAGATGCAATAACAAATTTGCAATTAACCAAGTAGATCATTAACACCATTTCATATTATTGTCGCACATTCTGTAACAAAATATCTGTTCTCTTTAGCTGCACTGTTACAATTTCTAAACATGATAATTGTCTATTCAAATCAATGTTGAGAAAAAGATCAAATGCAGTCATGAAGAAATACAGTTAAAGAAAACAGAAGTCTGTCTCTTTCTCTCTCTCTCTATCTATCTATTTTTATCTCTGTCACAAACGAGCCCTCTGAGTAAGAATATATACCTGTGCGATCTCATTATCGCCCATATGATCCTCGGCGACTGTGTACATAATCATCTTACTGTATAAATTCGCGATCGAAGATAAACACACGCGGGGATAGCCTAATATAATCCCCAATCCCGGTGCTGACCAACAGAATAGAGGAACTCTTGTTTAGAGACGAGCGATCGACGACGCTGTTGCAGACAGTGTCACGACGATGCGATAACGCACACAGAACATTGTTCCAGTGTTTTTTTACGAGCGGCGAGCGACCTATGACCTAGCGACACGATGCGCGAAAAGACGGTGACCGTTCTCACGCGGAGATTGCTGCGCACCTTTTAAAGACCCTTTAAAGAGCAACGGGACACGCGCGTCGCAAAATAAGCGTGTGAATTCACATAGCGAAGGGGTTGATCGACTGGTTTCGCGCGGGTCAACGGCTTTCAAGCCGCACTGGCCTACGACACTGTCGGCAGCACGGACGAGGGCAACCCTTCTGTGTAACGTAGCGCGCGTGCGAGCTATTTTTTCAGGGCGGACGGATCACGAAGGTGCGGCGATACGTTCGAAAAGTTGTTCGAGACGCCGACGAAGGGACGATTTTCCCCAGGAATGGCTACTCACGGAAAAGAAAACAGAATGAGAAAAGGGGAGGGAGAGAAAGAGAGAGAGAGAGAGAGAAACAGAATCGCGTCTCGACCGGGAACACGGATTCTCCGCGACTGGGAGATCGGGGGGGAAGCATCGGATTCCAGGTTCCAGGGAGGCTGCGCCCATCAGCGCCCATTAAAGGTCGCGGCGCAATGCGCGCGAGCGCCAATCTCTGCGTTCGTCTGTTTCTTTTTCTTCGACCTTTCTTTCTTCCTTCCAGCTTTTTCTTATTCTTTCTCTCTTTTTCTTTCGTTCCGCTTCTTTTCTTCGCGGTCCTTACCCTTTTCTCCAATCATTCTTAACTCTAACAAATCTATGTCTATCTTGTACTTTGGAAATATATTTATATATTTTTGTGAAAAATATTTAATAAACAATTGATTTTTACTAAAAATAATATTATATTTTTATTAAGTACGTAATCTTTTTACTAAAAATTATTGTATATAACTATTGTAAAATTAAGCTTTCATCTTACCTTGAGTGGTCTGGTTATAGTAACAGTTTCAATAGTTGTTGTTTGAGACATTGTTTTTGTTTTCTTAGGAATTAGCTGCAATAAAGAAAAAAATCATGATAAAAACAGAATCAATATAAGACTGTGTGGGAAAAATTGGTGTGCAAATAACTTTTAAATTGTGCTGTAAATTGAAATAAGGAATAAAACAATTTACTTGAATAAAATAATATAAAATGACTGCAAAATAAAGTATAATAGAAAAGTAAATATCCAAAGTAATCTTTTCAGGATACCTATGTGGGTTTCTAAAAGATATATAGAGAAAGCATATTTATTTTATATTTTCTCAAAAGTAGATTTAATTACACCGTTATACATTATGAATACAATGTGCATACTCTAAATTTCTATTATTCACATACATATAATTTATAGCACAACTTAATAATACATCATGAAATATGACATTGTGAATAAAAAACTGTTTAAAATTTATATTATTTTATCAATTTATATTTCTCAGAATAAATATGCATATATATATATATATGTTTTTAGATATACATATTATATGTATCCACAAAGACATAAATATGCTATACTAAAATAGAAAAATTATATTCTGAAAACTATTGATATATTTCTATTGAATAATGTTTCAAGTTTTGAATATATACATAAATATACACTTGTTTCCATTGTTTATATTTATATTGCCTCATATTAGTATCTTCTGTACTTAATTGTTCTAGACTTCTACTTTTCAAGGTCTGAACATGCATCTGTTTTACTTTAAACATAGAAAATGTAGGAAAAGTACAACCAAGATTTGTCACTTTGTTTTTTGTATGAGCTTTATGTAATTGCATTAGTAAAATGTAACAATAACTTTTAGTGAATCAATGTTTTCACATAACTGACTCTAACAATATTCTGTACTGCATTAATGATATTTATAGTCATTTTAATTATTAAATAATATCATATAAAGTAACAATGGTGCCGACTTGATGATTCATCTCGATTATCCTCTCATGTTTCAGCAATCTTAAGGATATTGAGTCACATAAAATAAATGTCGTAGTTATCGCAAGTATTATTTTTTTAACAATTTGTTATCGAGAAATATATCAATAACGCAGTAAAATAATATACAGAATATAGCTGTTAGATTCTTGGCTGATCTGCCAAAAGTACAGAAGGTTAGAAGGTTTACCTTGCAGTAAAGGCAAACTCGACGCGCACTACGTCGTAAAGAAAACGAGTGTATTTGTCGTCGAATTCATTGAAGATTCTTTTTCTTCCAGTTCTTACAGATCGTTACTACCTTTTAGCAAACTTTTCTTTGTTCCATCGCATATGCCAACTGTTGACACACTAAGGTGCGATCCGTTTACTATACTTTGTAGGCTTCGAAGCGTTTAGGGTGATTCACTATACGCTTCGAAGCCCTCTGAAGCATTCTAATTACAGGTATGACGTTGACTTAATGATCTGTTATCCGTCGAGCACGAAGAAAAAAGCACCACGTTATTATTATCACATTAAATATATCCAAAATACAATTAAAACGAACAAATATCACACACGCGTCATCTGCGACACGAACTTGCCAACTATCGCAACTCGAGAAGCTTTTCGATACAGACGTTGTCGAGACGCGCACAATTATCGATATCGCGTTGGAAGCCAAGTTCAAGCGTTCCATCTTCGAGCGTCGCCACTGTCGCCATCTCGCGGTCGTTCCACGACAACCGCGCTTTGACGTTTACGAGCTCGCGCCGGCGCGTTGCGCGTTCCCAGTTCTGCTCGCGTGGAAAGTCAACTCGGAGGAAAAATTTGTGACGTGTGTATCTTGACCCGTGTATCTCACCGTCTCTCTTCCTCGCTCTCTCTCTCTCTTTCCCTCTCCCTCTCTTTCTCTCGCGCGCGTAGCGCCCAATAAAATGCCCATGTATTTGTGAAATATCGTGACCGTGCGCGACCATCGGCGCGACGACGACGTTCGTTTCGCTGTCCCTTACGACAGAACCAAGAAGAACGATTGGCGAGGAACAATAATGCGCATACCAGGTGCACCAAGACGGCAGTGCGAGCGACGATAATTCAGGTGAGTGAACGCGCACACAAATCGGAGCTCCTCGGCGGCAAGCTATCGTCTTGTGACTCTCACAGCTGGTAAGCCGTAGATCGGTCTACCTCGCATACCACCGCGATTTCTTCGCGGTCGACGATCTGGCAGCCGTTGATTTGTCGTTTGCGCGCATCGGAAAAACGCCGCCTCGCTCGTCCGCCGTTACATAATTACGTAAAATTTGCGAGCAATTTACTTATTGCGCCGGGTACTCTCTCTCTCCCCCCCCCTCCCTCCCGTTCTCTGAGTGACTACAGAAAACGATTCTTATCGCTGATTCACGCGCGTCGAGATATCACGGGACTGCTGTTATCGTTTTGTTTAAATTTACGGAATTCTACACGTGTACACGTAGCACTTGTCGCTTACGTGAATGGAGGTTCAACGCGCCACGATACTACGTGTGCGGGAATTTTCTGCGAGGCAGTGCGACTAATGACCCATTTATAGTTCATATCCGTGTACGAAGGCTATTAGCGTTACGGTGACAAGCGTTTTCTGGGATCGCGAGTAGCCGCCAGTGAGATTCGCCTGAGTAAACATTCGTACTTTGATAATTGTTTATTCCGCTCGGCAGAGCGGGCTGTCATTATCTTCAGCCGGGATTTATAAAAGTTTTGAGAGGAATAATTTACCATACAGTTCCATACAGTTTATTGCTGACTATATATGTGTATATGTCCACATACTAAATGTAAAAATATAAGAGTTATTGATATAATTGAATATGAGGTAAAACTATTTGAAAATCTTTTATTTTTATAGTAATTGCTTTATTATTTCTGTCAAGTTCTCTACTCTTAAAATACTCTTCCCTGTCTTCATCCATGTATAAATTAATTGTTTTTTCTTCAGACGTTATTTTGTTACTTATAGCAAAATATCAGATAAAATATTATTGTTATGTACATGTATGTGTATAAGTGTAAGTTTGTATTTTTGAATTTCCAGATCTCATAAAATTGCTGTTAACATCATACTGTTTCACGGCCAACATGAATGTAAGTACATAGCTGGTCATGTATGCTATATTTTGCATAGCGAGACCCATGATCTCTGGATACTGATACATCTCAATGGTTTGATATACTTTTAGAACCCTTATCGTGCTAGACCAACCAGGTCTCGAGTGGATCATTCGGCCGCTTATGGAGTACATAATCAAAATATGTGGATGCCCATGCCGAGGCCACAATCGGATATTTCGTCGTCAGCAACCATCCAACAGCAGTCTGTCCCGAATCAATCAAAACAAAGCAACAATACATGGAAAGATCCTTGGGATTGGAATCTAGACCAGCAATCATCGGATATTCAGCAACAGCAACAGCAGCAACCGCAGCAGCAACAACATTACATACCCTCCTACACGAATCAGGGGCAATTGATATCCAATTCTATCCAGGATCATTATTACGAGAATCTCAATAACGACGTATCCGATGTACTTAATCAGAACTCGGTGTCGGGTAGGAACACACCCAGAACAGAGTTCTCGCGTCAGACCGGTCCGAATTACGCAGATTCTTTCCCACCATACACAAACTATAATCAAAATCAGCAGTATCCGTTGCCGCCTCGGCAGACTTCTGCCAAGGCCGCTGGTTATGAGCATCCTCAGTGGACCGACGAGCAGCAGCAACAACTGCCGAATGTGGCTGCGTATGCGCAGCAGAGATTCGCGCCACCGCAGAGCCAAAAGGAGCCGGCATCGATAGTGCATCCGTCGAGCGCGGCGTCGCATAATTACAACTGGAACAAGGATGACTCGGCGAACCTGGCGTCGCAGCGTAACTGGCAGAATTACACCGACATGTTAGGTCATTGGCAAGATCCCACAAAGGACTTGCAGCCGGTCGACAATGTGAATAACAAGTGCGCGCAACCGCCGCTGCCACCGCAAATGTACAACGCGCCTGCCGACGAGGTTAACAAGGAACATTCCATGAACCGGTCGAATAGGCAGCAGAATGCCAGTGAAGCGAGCAATAGACCCACTGTCGCGTCTGGTCAATGGAACAATCGCGAGACAGCTGTGACAACCCATCAGCCAGCGCAATTGGCACCTAATGACATAGACGAGGCGTTCAACTCTTGGCCGCAATCGCAAGCAGATTGGAGAAATATGCAGAAGGACGTATATCCGAATCAGTGGCTGCAACAGGTGACGGACAAGAATACATTCAACGAGGACATGTCGCAGAACAACATCGTGGCTGCTCGATTCGCCGCGAACGACTGGCAGATCAGCAGCCACCAGCAGATGCTCGCAACGTCACCGTTTCACTACGTATCTGCCGTACCATCTACGACTGTAGATAATACTGTACATACACCTGTCAACAATGAACAGCAAGAAAACGAAAAGCAAGCGATGGCAGTCACCGCGAGCACCGCGTCGCCGCACGATTCGACGACCCCAGCGACGAAACCTAGCGACGTCAAGTCGCCGATCGTAGGCGACCATCGCAGTCTCAATGTGACAACCGATGAGATCGCGTCGAAAAATGACTCACTCTTTTCGAAGAACGTTCTTAGTGAAAACGACGACCACCACGCTTTTCTTTCTACGGTGACGGACGAGTTATCCAGCAACCTTGGCCAACTTAGTATCGAAAGCAAATCGAGCAAGCACACGGCCGATCACTCGGCCGAGTCATTGGACGTGTATTCCAACTCAATGGAGGGAAGAGGTGCTCAACATATAGCTGCCAATTTTAACGTCACAAACATCCGAAACAATTCCATGCCCGACAATATGCCCGTGTTACCGCCGGATTACGCGGCGAGCAGCGTGGAGAATTCTCATTCCGTTGACAGCCAGCCGTCGATCGTCGCTCAGGAACACTTAATACCGAATACATATCAGAGTGGTGCTACTAAGATAACGGACAGCGTCTCGCAAAGCGGGTATGATCAGTGGTACAATCAGAGCGCGTTGCCAACCTCGTTGGGGAACACGTGGTACGCCAAGGATTACGCGCGTCCACCCAAACAGTGGAATGCCGAGCAAAATGTGGAGAACTACGAGAATATCCAACAGACGTCAGACTTTGTGAACGTCGAGGTCGTCGCGCCCGCGGCAACCTTGCAAGAACGCGATATCTATGGTTCGCGAGACTCCATCAACAAGGAAACTCTGGATAACGAGCCAAAGCCAAGCGCAAGTCCGAAGGAAGCGACGAACATTCGGGACCTCCGGGAAGAGGCAAGTAACATCGAGGTGCCGTCGGTGCAGCAACCGGCACGGCCTCATCCACCTCTGCAGCCGGAACAGATGCCAGACAATTATGAATTTGCGTCGAACGACAGGAATACATTCTTGGAGACTGGTGAGCTAACGGACTCGCATCAGGAACACGAGCCAACCCCACCGAGTCAGGACGACGAAAATGACGAAGTGCCTAACGATATTCCATTCCTGCGCGAAGTACCAGGCCAGTCGAGCACCATTGATCCACGTAGGAACGATCCCACTGGACAAGAACAGTACGTGCAGACCGGACAACGGCTGTCCGATCCCAGGAGGAACGATCCTTCGGGTCAAGAACAGAGTGTGCAAGTGAGAAACATAGCCGATCGGGTGGAACGTCGCGACGTGCCACCAGGACAAGAAAGAAACGTGCCTCTGCTGTTGCGTGGTGACTCGGACACGTTGGAGCGACGGAACGATCCTTCAGGCAGAGAGCGATCCTTGCCGCCGCAACAGTCGCGCAACGATCCGTCCGGAGAGGAGAGATACCAGTTGCAGTCGCAGATCATGCTGGAGCCGAGCGAGACCCGCGAAGTACCCGGCAGGGGCAACGAGCTCGAAGAAGCAGCGCAGCAGACGGACGCGGAACTTCGGCAAATTCCTGGCGGAGCGTCTTCCAACGACGTCGCGCAGCTACCGGACGACAGGACAGCCGGCCGATTCGTCACAGGTTCCCAGGAGGTGGTATCCTCGACGATGTCCGCGATGCAGCAAGATCAAACGGCGGGCGACTCTCGTAGCAAGCGCGAAGAGGCGGTGGGTGCATCCCAAGGTGAGAGCCAGGGCGTTCCCGGCCCGACCTCGAATCGTCGAGACTCTTACGAGGATGAAGACAACGAAGGCTCCGGCAACAGTCGGGAGGACAGCAGGGAGAGACGACGGGAGGCGGCGGCCAGTCCTGACCGTCGGAGATACGAATACGATCGAAAGAACGCCTACTATGATCGTGACCGTGAATACGAGGACGACTACTACTACGATCGCCGGCGTGCAGCAGGCGACAGTGATCGTCAGTACAACACCCGCGACGATTTCGAACGCCGAGACGTCTCGTATCGGGACGACGACCGCAAACATCACAGTCGTGATGATCTGGACCGACATGGCAGGGAAGACACGGACAGGAGAGTCCGAGGTAAAGAAGATCTGGACGAGAGGGACAGCAGGAGAAGGCCGGATGATCGCAGAAGGGGGGACGTCGACCCACGTCGTCGAGACAGAGACACGAGAGACTACGATCCGCGATTTCTCAGGGATCCTCGGGACTACATGGAGCGCGAGAGACGAAGGGATGACAGACGGCCGCGCAGATACGATGATTATGATATGAGGGATCCGTACAGAAGAGACTACTACGATGATCCTTACGGAAGAAGGTATGTTTTCTTCATTTTCTGATCTTCGTTACATTTCTTTGTGTGTGTGTGTGTGTGTGTAATATATACTTTAATTATATTAATTTCTCTTTTAACATATTACGCTTAAAATATTTGTGTATTCTGTTCGGTCAGTTCTAGACCTTCGAGTAGATCTTCTTACAACGACAGGGACCGTGAATATTACATGCGTGCTAGGGATCCTTACTATGCGTATAACGGTGAGTATCTCAGCACGTCTGAGAAATGATGATTTATGCACGAAAAAAAACCCATAAAAAATATATATATTCGTATTTAATTATTAATTTGTTAATCATTTAATTGCACATACAAAGGATACGGCGGATACGATTACGGCGCTCATTACGGTAACAATTATTACGCGTACCTCGAAAATCTACGTCGGACGAATCCTGCTGCCTACTCCGAATGGTACCATAAGTATTACAGCAGTCAACATCAGCAGCAGCACGTTAGAGGCGTCAGCAATTATCCAGAGGACAGAGCCAGTGTCCATTCGGGTCGTAGTTCTTGCGATGACAGGTATGCTTTAAGAGTTTTAAAAGCCGAAACTGCGATTTAACGAGAGCTCAACGCTTACACTCATCCATTTACTCACTCTCATTCTGTGCGCGATTTTATAACGTTCATTGTATATCAGATTTTGTCCGATCCCAAGTGCATGTTTCCGTTCGCCAAACAAAGCGCTGTACGTTCCTTATTTCGGATACTCCGGATGGGCCGGGAATCTGCGGCAGCGCAGTACGGCTTGTCGCAATCTGAATAGGTGAGACCGAGAGTTTCTTTTCTCGGTTCAACTCTCTTAAGCCACAAGTCAGAGATGCGTTCTTTATCCTCGGTATCTCCCTAAGGTTTTATAGTCGTGCGTAGCTCGCTAGATATATCTAGAAATTTTTACGATTGGTAATTATTGTGTATTATTAATAGTAGATCTGTTCTTTACAACTGCACTAAATTGTATCATTTATAATAAAATAGGTATGTTTGATACTTGCTGGAAGAGAGAAGATAATAGAAAGATTGTAAGATAATTAAGAAAGTGCAACTATGAAGAGACAGACGTTGTATTTAATGTAATAATGCTGGATTGTAAGCTTGAATTATTAGCAAAATATTAGCTTGCGCTAAACTTTAGGAGAAGAGTGCTTATTTGCGATTAAAAAAAGGGCACCCCACTTTTTTAGCTAATTTTGGATATTTTTTTTTCTAGAAATTATTGTATTGTATCGACATTTTTTTTGGTATCGAAATGCTTTTGAAAAATTTAAAGCCGTAGAAGAGTGAGACCTTTGCGTATTCATGTGCGCTTTTTAATATTCATCGTAATTAATATATCGACTTGCTTTGCGTTTGTATTTTGTATTTTGTTCTTCGTTGTTTAAAAAAAAATTATACGTTCATCTCAGGACCACCGGTGATAAACGAACTCCAGGCGATATGTCACTGTTGGAGGATTCTGCAATTACTTCAGCTCGAGTAACACCGACTAAATTCTCCACATCTCACGCATATGGTATGATTTGTCATATAGATTCTATATATCATATTATTGTCGAGAAATATAATATTAATTGAACTGTGCGATGTTTAAACATTTATCCACAGGATGTTTCTCTATTGGATCCTTGATACATGTTCATCCCAGTTATCCTGCCGACGGCGAGAGAGCTAAAGTGGACATTTTCCGCATAGACAGCCTGCTGTCGTATGATCCAATCGCACGCGATTTACGATTGTACCCTGGACCCCTGATTAAGTCAGAACAATCATGTAGAAAAATCATATGATAAAAAAATAACATATACGTAACAATAGTATTTTTTTTATATTGCAGTGGTGTCACGCACAAAAAGACGATCATCGAATATTGCGAAAATAAGATTAAGAGAGCAACAATGAGCGAGGAATTGTTCGATCGCGCTTCATACATTCTGCTATACGAATTAATGATTATGCTGATTCAACAGAATGGGGTAGGTACTTTCTTCTCTCCTTTTGAAACGGTTTGGAGAGGAAACGTCACGTTGTTCACACGAATCAATCGCATTTAATCCACATAGAACGTCGTTGGAGTCGATATCGCCACGCTCTTACTGCGTAACAAGGACGCTTATCCGTACGACATGAGCAAGCCTAAGTCCCAGGATGTGGGTCGCAGAGAGTCCTTGATATCGCAACGATCGGGAGCGACGGGTGGCGACGGAAGTACTCAAGATATTTCTATACTTTCCGATAAAACCGAGACCAAGCAACGAAAAACCATAGAGCAAGTAACAGACGAGTTTAGAAATACGTTACTTTATGGTCTGGTTCAAGAAGCATTAGGTATGATACATTACTATTTTTCTTTTTTTATATTTATATTGTTGTAATTTACGGATGTTGACCGATTTTTCTTTTTTTCTACGACAGAGTACGCGATGAATGAAGGACTCTGGGGCCATGCTCTTTTCTTGGCTAGCAAATTGGATAAACGCACACACGCTTCCGTGATGACTCGCTTCGCGAACAGCCTGTTACCGCATGATCCGCTGCAGACTTTGTACCAGCTACATTCTGGTCGTGTGCCAGCTATAGTTACGGTAAAAAAGACTTTCTTTTTGCTTCACGATAAAAATTATTTACCTTTTTATTAAGATGTATCAGTTGTCTATTTTCTTGGTTTCGTCGCACACAGTGCGTCGCAGATCCACGTTGGGATGATTGGCGACCTCACTTGGCCATGATTATCTCCAATACTTCGGCCAATCCGGAAGTTAATCGCCGATCGATAACAACCCTCGGCGATACGTTGTCCACGAGGGGAGACATTCACGCGGCACACTTCTGCTACATTCTCGCGCAAATTGACTTTGGGGCCTACGGAACCAACGGGGTCAAACTCGTATTAATCGGCGCGAACCATAATAAGCCGTATTCCGAGTTTCTCACCACGGAAGCAGTTATGCTAACGGAGATCTACGAATACGCTCGGAATCTTAGCGATCCGTGCTTTACACTGGTAGACCTGCAGAAATTCAAGTTTGACCTGGTCGTAAAGATGGTGGACTGTGGATTGATGGAGAAGGCTCTGTTATATATCGAGCAGATCGCGACCAATATCGCAAACGATGTATCAAAGTACGAAAGATCCTTTATCGAAGCTGTTTATACGTTGGGCGACCGTATCAAATATCACGATCCAATTTGCAAAGATTCTATCGAGGATGCCGCCAATTTAATATGGCTCAATAAACTGGCGGAGATAGTTGGAAAATTCCAGGTAGTTATGTTCGAATAATTCGAACAATTGAACAGCCATTTGTTTAAAGTGAGCACACTAAATGAAATGTTATTTCACAGGACGGAGAAATAGCTGATGTCGACAAATATAGCGCTCGTATCGATTCCCGCACTAATATGCAAAATCAAGAGATTCAAGAGATGAAGCAACTGCAACAATCGCAACAGCAGCAGCAACAACAACCGCCGTCGACAATGTCGCAGCAGCAATGGAGTGTTCAGTCCGAGTACGGCGATGGGCCTACGTCGATGATGGAAGTCACTTCTGGCGGTGAAGTGAAGTCAGAATGGCAACCTCTGTCTCTGCCCACAAATATTCAAGAAACTTGCGATCCGAACGCGCAATATATAAGAGGCATGGACGAATCCGCTCAATATCAGCAACAGTCGCAGCAGCCGGATTATTGGAATCAGCAGTCGTATTATCAAGGCAATTATGGAAGGAATGAGTCGTCCACGTCGTCTAACTGGCAGCAACAACCCACGCCAGGCGACCAGGCCGAAGTTGATAACATACAACAGCAAAATAAATGGAACTATGAGGTAAATTGAACAGCTCATACAGAAGTCGATTTTGCAGATTTTTTCTCTTTTTTCATCACCTTATTATTACATTTCTTAAATTTGTACTTCCATATTTATATTATTCATTTATACTGTTTAACTATAGTAATCGATTTATCGCCAAAATTGTGCTGGTATTACACGTTTTACCGCGTACGTAATACGTCAAACAGAATACACATACGTTTCTCTGATTTAACTAATCTTACACATAACACTTATCCCGAGACGCTAACATTTTTCACCTATTTCTTGATGCTTGCACATCGAAAGGAAAGGGAGAGGGAAGACAAAACGCCCACCCCTGAAGTAAGTAATTGCGGACTCACTATGGATAATAATTCCGATCCTGTAGGCTCACCGGACATTACTGCCGTTAGCTCGTTACGACGCCGTAATGTGCCTGCGAAATCAAATCCATGCGTTGCATTCGCGATGGACGATAATACTGCTGATAACGTGCCAACGTTTCTCGATGTGTCTACTGGCGTCAATCTCGAGGTGAAAATTTCTCGAGATTCTCGCAAAAGTATCAAATATCCCAGATTAGCCGCGAGCTACCCGAAAATTTCACTAAACGTTGATAAAATCCATCCGCGAGATATCAGGAAATCGAGGCATACGAATGCCGCGTTGTTCTCGAAACCGCCATGTTCACAACCATTGGTGTTCTTAAAATGTAAAGCCAAGAAAGATATCTCGTCGGAGGACGAGGTGGGAGCGATTGTGAATGATGATCAGCCGGACGACCAGATCTCGGCCGTGTCGCAAACCACGGATCTGGATATTCAGTTTAGCAAATTGGAACTTGAGTCCTTCATCGCGTCGGATTCACTCGCTAAGAAGGTGCGCGACGATACCTCCGACGACGCGAACGCGCAAACTCTGAAGCAGTATTGTAATTTCGAAGAAAAGAAAGTGATGAGAGTGGCACCGCACATACGCCGCAAGGATGTTATTTGCGACACGGTGGACGCGTGGTCGTATGACAGCGCTATGTCAAACAGCTTCGAATCATCTAGATACAAGCCACTCGTCTTTGGCGGCACGTATCCAATCGATTTGCCGCTTAGATCTAGAAATAATCATAGTCATCAAACGGCAGAAGGACGAGGAGGTGTCTCCTCTACTAAAAAGAACATCTCTTTGACCTACGACATTGATATTCCTACTAAATGCGAGTAAAGAATGGTGATGATAGTTCGTAAGCGCATGTACAAATCTTCTGTACGTTGTATTCAAAGAACAATATGAAATAACATGTGACTATATTATACAGTAGCTCTGTTAATCGATGCGTATAACTGTGATCATGCAGGATAGAGGTGTTAAAGTCCTTTTTTCTTCTCCAACCGTATTGGTCAAGTTGTGGGTTTACGAGATTTCACGACATTATTTTAAAGCGTTATTCAATGTACATAGACGTGTTGTTGTTGTTAGCGTCCATCGTATAATAAAGTTTTGTCATATTATGCGCTTCCTCAAATTTTTTTAGATCGCGTTCGCGATCTTGTATCACGCAGCGACGTGTCGCACGTGCGATTAATCCAAACTCGTTATTTTTTTTTACTTTCTATCTCCTAACGTTGATTTTACTTTGCGTCTTGTAACGTATTTAAGCCGACGCTAATTACTAAGACAATTACGGTGAGCAAAGTTTCTCATTTTTTACTGTAATAAATCTGTGAGTGTGTCGCATGTCTTATAAGTATATTCCACAAAGTGCTGCAAGTGATTCGCGAATTGAGTCGCTAAACGGCGACTGTCACGAGCGAACTTTCGTTGTTACAGTAAACAATGATAAACTTTGCTGGAACAAGCTTGCGATGATCAATCGTATATTTTATTTCAGCCTATGCAGCCGACGATCTCCATGACGCCGTCGATGAGTAAACAGTACGACCCGTTGGAGGAATTAGACGCGCTCGAGTCGCCAAGAACGAGCGCGAAATCCGAGACGAAGAAGACTGCCGAGAAAGCGGCCGAGAAGAAGTCCACTAGCAGCGGTAGCTCCTGGTTCGGCGGTTTGTTCAGTAAACTCGCACCAAAGCCGAAAAATCAAATGATATTGCCGGATGATAGTAACCCAACGGTAAGGAATCTCTCATTATACCATTGCTGCTCTTTCCCGAGTTCTCTGCTAAGAAGTTACGATGGACGGTTTTATGTTTTATGTCGTTAAGGGTGGCTACTTTTGGTAATAGAATGCTACTTACGGTAACGATTACAAGACGGACGACAGGCTACGACAGGCCAGTATGACGCGGGGTTTGCTTGATTCCTGAGATAGTTAATTGCAAATAAACTAACAAGATTGCCACTAATTTCTTTCTAATACGTACTTCTTTTCTAATACGTTGGCTAGATTTCTCTTAACATATTAACGCAAATGGGGAAATATAAGAAAAAAGGCTTCTTTAGATTTAGTATCCCAAATCTTTTTATCTCTCTATGTCTAGATGCTAATGCCAGAATATTCGCGTATTCAATAATATTACCGTTGTCCTGTATTGTAGATCGTATGGGATCCTGTCGCCAAGAAGTGGATGAACAAAGATGAGGATGGCGACAATGCTGCTACGACGTTGGCACCACCACCGAAGGCAGCCGACGTGAATTTCCGAGGATCAGCAATGGAACGCTGCGGTGCCGGTAGCGGCGGCGTTTCCCAGCCACTTCCACCGAATGCTCACGAAGATGCGCCAACGATGGATCCTCCGAAATCGGTTCCTGGTAGCAATATGTTCAAGTTGCCAAAAGGCAGGAGTATGCGCGCTAATTACGTGGACGTGATGAATCCCGGCGGATCCAAAAATAGCACTGCATCGTCCAACATGCCCACGCCCGTGACGTCTCCGCTCGTACCGATGGCTACCTCGTCCCCGCAATTGTTTGTTCCCATGCCAAGTAAGTTTCCAGATAACCGGCTTTCGATTATTAAGACTCCCGATTATTAAGATTCCTTGCCTTGATCATCTTGATTGGTAATGAATCTTAATGACACTTTTATCTGACAGTTAATGATCCGACTGCTCCTGTGGATTTCTTAACTCCAGCAACAACGACACCAGCTGGGAACGTCGTCGAAAATACACCGCAAACAGTACGTATCTTGCGATATAAACGCAAACACACTACCGGATCGTACTTATCGTATCTGACACGTTACCGCTCTGTATACACACCTTGACAGTTTTAAATGTATGTGTATATATATATATATATATATATATATATATATATATATATATATATATCCTCCCTCGTGACAGACTCACGTTACACAGTACCTTTGTTTCTCCTGCGTTGTGGCTGCAGTTTGCTGGTATGCAGCTTAGTCTTTCTTTCAGCGTGTCTCTGGAATTGTAATGTTAATATAATCGAATACATCTTTCTCTCCTTTGTACGTTTTTACGTCTAAGATCGTTGTGGTAAAGAGTTTATACACCTTATGGTCGTTCCCTAGTTTAATGAGCCATTGATGTTCCCTTAGGTATCGCGATCTTCACGAATCAAAAATATTTCACACATTTATATGTGATCGTTATCTTCCATTACATATTCCCTTCATTAGTTTCTGAAGAATTATTTATATTAATTTTGACGAAATGTGAGGCTTTCACGGTGTGAAGAAATGCTCGATCTGGATTCCGAGTTGAAGGACGCGGCATCTACCTAGAATCCAGATCAAACATTTGACGAAATGTCTTGATGTAGGGATTAGTTTACATTCCAGCACTTTCCTTTCACATAGACAGATTAGACAGTCGCTCAAACAATCGATGTTATTTAAAACACATCTACGTAGCTTCCTATGTTACATTTTAGTGAACGGCGAGTACTTAATTAGACTTTCACTTTTCGCTACAGATATTCTTTCTTCTCTGTGTATCTCTGTGTTTAATCCGTCTTTCTTTTTATGTTCCTTTATGCAAGCAGTCGGGGAAGCAGAATGACGTAGCCAAATAATAATTATTGCTAATAGTAAGGACATTCATTTTATTAATTTTACATATGATGTCTCTTACACGCGCGCACGCTTTCTATACTACTCACTGCTTACAGAAATGCATTTGTTTTGTATGTATATGAAGAGTTTCTCGTGTGGTAGATAATAATAATAGAAATAGAAGTAAAGCGTAAAACTTGTATGGCGTGTCGTACTTGTATTGTTTTGTAGCTGAAATTGATTTTTAACGCTTTTTGCACCTTTTCGCTCCAATTATTTATTGTGTAAATAAATTTATTAATACGTATACCGAGTTTTAGTCATACATTAAGTCAATAATGCCTGGCCACTTACTATATATTTAGGTTCATTATTAATCTTATTGACTCAAGTTATAGTAAAGCTATCACAGTTACAGATTGGCCGCTTCAAGACAATGTGCCGCTTTCTCGAATAATCAGCGGTTATGATGCCGAAATATCCAGATACGAAGAGTAGGATTGAGAGTTTCTAATATAACTCTGGATCTAACAGTGGCCGGGTATTATACATGCTTTAGCGTAGAACTGCTGGGGGAAATTGTTATGATTTCTTTTGTAAAATAATGCATTAATCCACACACTTACACTGTAATCAAAGCATGAAAAAGTGTTTCTCTAAATTCGTTAAAAACTTTACGCCATTTTTATAGCACACACGAGAATATACTCTCGCGTAATACCGATTTTCGCTGCGATATTGTATGCTGTGAAAAGTAGCTTACGCTTTTTGACCAGACAAGTATGTACATCATGACATTGTACATGCAGAACGCTGTCTTTTTTTTTAGCTGGGCGAACTGTGAGCACGTGCGATGCGTAATCATACGATAATCGGTATTACACAAGAAAAGTACACGATAAGAATCGCTAATCACTGCGACCCGGTAAATAACCGTTAAGTGAGACGACATTGTTGTGTTGTATTTGGCATATAGCTCTCTCGCTGGAGCTCGACCAGCTCGTTATCACGAGAGGTGCAGAGTTACACAATGAGGGATCCGCGGCTCCTTCAACGGAACAAGGTAATCCAGCGACGTTGATTCTTTGCCCTCTGTATTTTCAAGGTAACCATTGACCGAAATGTCGCAAGAAACACGTGCGATACTAATTATAATCATAGTAAAACCTTTACTTTGGTCTAACGAGTGCGTTTTCACGTGGATGAAGTGGAAAATTTTGTTATTATAATTTATCATCGCTTGTGTACCACCAAAATTAAGCTTAATGCTTTTCAATCACTATCTTCACGATATCATTGATCGCAGAATTATGGGAAAGCTTGGTGAAGGATATATATCGGGTTCTGTATAATAAAAATATCGCCTCGTCGATCGATTTTACACTTGCCTTTATTATCACTGTATTCCCACGCTATATAAAAATTGCGAATACTCGAGAAATGATAATAGGATAAAAGAATTGACGCTTCCTTACTGCTTACATATACGTGATAATTTAAGACTAATTTATAACATTTTATATTATATACAATCACATAAAATTATATAATATTATATGTATTTTTTACATTAAAAGACTTACTTCTTAATTGTTAGAGCATTTTGTAATGTAACGTTAACTTTGTTCATATACAGTAATCTCTTTTATAAGAATACTTTTTTTTAATGAAATTAATTTCTAGGGACCAATGATGTTCAATCCGAGTGACATGAAGGATCGTTCGGTGAAGAATGTGCCAGCTACTAGCAGATATCCCCCGCGATAATTTTTGCGATTGCTCACGTAAACGATTCGTTACTATTCAAATTGCTAGAAATTCTTATTATTTCTCAATCGTGTTTTTATATATTGTGAATTTTCGTTTCTACGTGGAGCTCGACAACGACAGCGTCTGTAAAGTAATGATGACAGAAGACACGCAAATGTCTACATCGATTTTTACGTTCACATCCTCTGTTTTGCCGTTATATTTAACATATATAGAGAATTAAAGGAAATATGTTGGAAGACATATTCGAAGGAGCATATTTTCCACGCAATAGAAGGAAATAATTAATAATGTTATAGCATCGGCGCGTGTCATCTAAGCGTAAAATATAGTTCTAGATTTATCAGAGCCTCGAGTTTCTGTTGCTCACACTCCTCGATGAAAAGTACGCGCTTTCGTCTGAGGGAATAGTTTTCACGGAATGTTTTGTAATCACGAACGAAAGAATTAACTTCAAAGTTGGACATGTTGCTTTCGATTTTCATATATGCTCGTTTCCGTAATTGATAATGATTACTTATGCATTTGCATAATCGCAAATTCGGACAGATTAATTGTTGTTAGAGAAATGCGCGAGTGCATTCCCGTTACTGTATTCGCTTAGCTCCTAAGTATTGTCATCTTGTGTCGGATTTGATGACATGCAAAGATCGAAATCCCACAAGTACGAATTTGAACTTGCGCGAGTGAAATGTAAAGAAGTTTTTACCTGCAATTATACATATATAGATATCGTATCTAAGTTGTACGAAATAAATAGTCCCTCATTCCGAGCTGGTTTCGTATGATGATAGCGAGAGTTATAGCGCTAATTGTGTGACGCAGATTATTGCGACGTTTGTTACAACACACATGGCCTCGGATTATATGTATATTTGTATGTATGTATGTATATATGTATATATATATATATATATATATATATATATATATATATATATATATATATATATCTACCACACACATATATAGATATATACGTACACATATGCGTGCTGTAATTCCAAGTCTGATTTTATATGTCGAGGAGAAGCATCGCGTGGAACCGGTAAATACGAAGATGATGTTATAAAGATATGAAAATTTTATCGACGAGATGCATGGAAGATGTATGGAAGTTATCACGCAAGAGGAATGTGTGTGTGTGTGTGTGTATAATAGAGATATTGTTATCCACTTCGACATCGGGCTACATTACGCGATATAATGATATACAAGAGAGATACACCAATAATAATACGCAACTGCCATCAACGTGAATCATACGAAGATGTGAGAGCATTTGTATCATGGTTCCACTGGTTCAATCGCGGTTAGGTTTATAAGATTCATCCGCTAATGTCTATACTTCCATGGGGGAAGGTTTTCCGATAGTCCCAAAGGTTGTGAGTAGCGACTGGGGGACGTGCAGGGCGCGTAAAAGACGTTGCGACGTAAGCGGCTAGTGAAAAATGAGGAAGAATAGAATTTCATTGTTCCTCTGCACACATAAGGAATACCTTTATCGAAGATTAAGATAATTTCCGGCAAACTTTAATTGCATATAAGTTGCATTCTACTAATTCCGAGTCGTCGTATCACCTCGTTCTGCCTCAAGCAAATAACGTTAAACGATTGGCGCGAGTGTAGTTTTGAAAAAATTTTTCGTGAAAGCAATGCTGTCTTTGCCTCGATTTCTCTCGTTAGTGTGAATTTCCTGTTAGAATTACTACTACTTGTATTCGAGTTTTCCGCAGAATCGTTCAGAATCACGCGACAGATCCGTTGCGGAAGCTAGACATTTTGTCTTTTGCCATTGATCACAGCTAGAACAGACTGGTTTAGGTAGATTTTGTAAATTATGACTCACGATACATTTTATATTTGTGACATATGAATTGAACGTACCCATTTGGTGCATGTATGTTTTATATATATATATATATATATATATATATATATATATACACATATACACACATATACATGTACATACATACACATATTATATACGTCGAGGTTCACTACGGAGGATTTATTGCTCGCAACGGAATTCGAGGTGGAATTTCGTTGTGTAATTTCACCTGTCGTACACAATAGAGCAGACACGTTTGTAAAGATTTATGGATGTGTACATATACTGAGTTCCAATCTGGTTGGAATTCTTTTTTTTTAGATGCAGTTTGGAACACCGTCAATAATCTAATGAGAAAACTTGTGGGAAATAATAAAAAACAAGTTCTCTCGTTGCAATATTGATTATATTTCAAACTGCATCAAAAGAAGAGGGCTTAAAGAGTGCCAGTTTTGAAACCCAGTGTAGTACATCTATAAATACAATTTCGAGTATTCGAAAATACTCTCGAGAACAGGCAAAATTCTATCTCGAATTCCCGATCGCCCGAAGTGTACTTCACGAGACGATAAACATTGTCGCGGAGATGTCGTCGCGTGTAAGTTATACATGTGCGTGTATGTCGTGCGAAGTCTGAGATTTGTACATATACTGTTTAAATGTAGCTTTCATAAACTCGTGGAATTGGAATTGTTTATGTATACATTGTTTTTGAATACACATTTATTCCATAAAACGCGCTTTTCATCGAACGAACGAACGAACGAACGAACGACAACCAGAACGGCTCTACTTGTGGTAAATGGCAGTCTTTATTATGACCGATATCGTCGCCGCTATGACACACAGCTAATCGATATAATTGACTTTCGTTGAGAGCCTGCGTGTAGTCTTTAAAATAGCAGAACGCGCCAACATGTTGTTGCATAGACACGCCTTCAATACTTAATGTAATGTAATGTGCGTAATCGAGATTTCGGGTGGAGTAACACGTGTGCAATCGTGTGTCAATTAAGAGCGGCAGTATTGCTCTTTACCTTACCTACCTATTTGCTTATTGTTTCCCTTGTGCGTTGTCGAACGTATATTTACTTTTTTACGTTACGACATCTCCGTTCGCGGCGGGGACATCGTTGTTGTAAAATGTTACGGTTGGTTCGTGCAATTGATCCGTCTGAGAGCTCTCAAACAATGATAGACAAACTATTACAGCAGAACGATAAGCGTGTAGCGAGGATGTTAAGATTAGCCTTAAAGTTGAACAGAAGTATTAATTGAGCTGTAAAATGTATAGGATGATTTATATAAACGATTCGCGCGCGCGCGTCTTGATGTAACATATTATATACTGTACACGTTTCACGCACTTTCCACTTCAAAGTTGATGTACGGGAAATACGGATTATAATGATATTAATGATAATAATTATGTACACTGTATATTATATTAATATTACGATTACTGTCTCACATTATTATTGATATTATAATAAAGAATAATGCAAATCAGCGACTGGTCTCTCCTTCTCTCTTCGTATAATACATAACTCCGTATAGTACATAACTGCGAGGGCGCAAAGGGTTTAATGGGACGAATACACAAACAATGTGAATAGATTATCTTTTTTTTCGATCCTTTTATTAAGTTTATCATAATGATTTGAATCGATACAATGATTTCTGTGGTATACTGTCGTCTTTCGGGCCACAACGTCGACGATCGTCTCTCTCGCGCGGACGTTTATTATTATACTCTGAGATCATACGTGTGTATGTGTGTGCTTTATATCGAAATGTCGGCAACGAGCGACTCCAGGCCGGCGCGAAAATAGCGCGGGGGCGCGTTTGCGTTTCGCGCAAACACTTTTAGTGTTGAAAAACACGAAGAAATCAATTCCAAAAATATCATTGTCTCTCTTTAACTTCTCTCCGTGGCGCGCGAAAAATTGGTCGACGGGCAGATGAGACACGGAGGTGGAGGCTGCGGATAGTGAGGTGAGAGGAGAGGGCGGCTTCCGCGACGACAGTTAACGACGCCGTGACACCGATGACTTCCGAGAGAGCGAAAAAACGTAAATGCGGTTTAACAATCAGCGCTTTTTTTTGCTTCTTTTTCTTTTAATCAGCGTGCACGCGTCGAGCGATCGACCCGATTACCGGCGAGTTTATTATTATTATTATTTCCACTTTGCCTGCCTTCTCCACTAATATCGTCTAAAACGGAAGTTAGAGAGATCGGGATAATCGAGGGCGAGGACGGGACGACGAGGGGGACGGGAAAGGGAAAAGAGAGAAAGGTGAATGAAGAGATGGGGACAAGAAGAGGGGCTGGAGAGAATGAAGGATATAAATATATAATAATATCTTATATCGCATGTATGTATTCGTAAATGTTAAACGTTATATCTTTCTCATCTCACTCATTCTATCTCTCTCTCTCTCTCTCGCGCGCACACACACACATTTTCATTTTTTCTTTTTTCTCTCTCTCTCTCTCTCACTCACTCACTCTTTCTCACTCTCATCTCTTCACGCTCACTCGTTCGCACATCGCGTCGGTATTATCGATCTGTATTTCATTTTTTTATCTTCGTTTTGTCCTCGTTTCATTTATTAAATGTTACGGTAGAGCCTATAAGGGACACCCGAAGGCGTGCTCACAGCGAACTTCGGGCGCGCTTTTCTCGTATACTAGCTGTGCCGGAACGCACTTGTACTGGTCGCACGATCGGCGAAGGAATCGGCTAAAGATAGCATAACGTCGGGACCAAATGACTTCGAGAGGATCGTCTGAGAAGAGAAACTGTTACGCGTTTTCGAGCAGCCGCTGATTCCTGACTACAATCCCGTTACGCGATCGTAAATTAAATCCGTCTGTCGATTGTATCGTCGTACGCCTGCTACTTTTACACGAGAAATTACGCAAAAATTGCAAAAAGAGATCGCAAAGAGAATTATACAACACGTTCGGAATATTATTCCGTTCTGAGATTTGAGAAACGTTTCGATCTGAAGATCCAAGAACGGAGTAATCATTGACAATTACAAACGATAAAATAAATCGTGATGTTGAAGCGCAAAGTAACTTGTCAGCCGATCTTTAGCCGAGTGATTCGCTCGCGACATATTATTTAACAACAGATTTTAACCACCTAATCATTCGGAGGATACTCGTAACTCTCACCTTTGCATCGCCTTTGTTTATACAATATGTGGGATATCCTTCTTTTTTCCTCGTTTACCTATGGCGCTAGGTAAGAAATCGTTCGCAATTCACTACAAATAATGGATCGATGAACGCGATAAACAGAGAATAAAGAGTCAACCGAGATGTGAACGTGTCCGAAAGGAAAAGAGAAGTACGTCTCTCGAGACGACGTAATAAACTTGAATAACGTGTAGCAATGATACTTATATCATCGTCATAACGATGCAATTACAGTGCGATTATCACAATGCGAGAACCGCCAATAATAATAATAGAAATAATAATAATAATAATAGTACTAATAATATAATAATAATGGCAATAATAATATTAATAATTACTAACCAATAATAATAAAAATAATAATCCTCGTCGTACTAATTACCATCGTCGTTACAGTGATGCACTTAATCGTATAGTTGCCTATGTTATATCCTCTTTTATATATACTTCTATATATATATAATATATATATATATATAATATAGCTACAATATATAATATTTTTCGTGTTGAAAAATCGTATACATTAGTGTTGTGTCGCAGGACCATTGCTTCGCTTCTCTCTTTCTTTTTTTCTCGCGCTCTCTCTTCCTTTCTCTCTATCTTTCGTTCTTTCTCGCACTCTCGTTTATTTTCGCACCGTTTTTATTTTTTTATTCAATGCGTCTGCTACATATATCATTCCGTTCTGCTATATATCTTTTTTGCTCTTAATGGATCGCTGAGAGGGGGAAGGGTAGGGGGAAAGACTGTCGTCGATGGCTGGAAGCATTCGTGTTGATGGAGAGTTTTCGAGTCAGAGCGAATCGCGCGTCGGTGAGAATATCGCTTTGGAGAACGAGATCTTCTTCCGCTAACGGCACTTTCGCCGCTCACACAATATTTTATCCGTAAAAAGCTTATAAATACGGGAAATCAGTGCTCGTTGAACGTACGTGTCGAGTTTGCAGTTAGGTCCGGTAAGGAGATTCGAAAGAAAAAGTGCGTCGCGCTTCCACGACAATGTTCTCCCCGAATTGTGAACACTGATCGACATTGACGCGCGCTGCCTCTCGGGGGGG